AGGCAATCGCGAGATCGCTGAAGACATGCCTCGTTCTGGATGACCTTTGATCTTTTCAGCTCCTCAAAACTAAAATTTGCACTACGTTAAACACGGTTTCAGTCAATCGATCGTAGAGGTAAAACAAAATTCGCTAAAGTAGCTTAAAGCCATCACGAAAAGTGCTTATCAAAAGTGTTTCGAGGACTGGATAAATCGTTGGCAGAAGTGTATTACATTTGGTGAGGATTACTTTAAAGGCGGCAAAATAAATATTTTCGGTTATTTTTTTGTCAGAATGCATATTCGATATTCTCCTTATGTGATAAATTCGAAATGTTCGAGCGCAAAATTCACGTAAATAAAAATAATGAACAACCATGCAATATTTGTAGGAAGGAGAAACTCGATAATTAATTTTTAAATTTGCTTATTTTTACGCTTGACTGCTGAAACATTAGAAACAACACTACAAATCACTTTTAATATACAAAGCAATTTAAGATAAAAAAACACCAAAACATACAAACAATTAAAAATAAATAATTGCATGCTGCCTGTTAAGTAGCCAAAACTGAGCGATCATTCTAATTTACAGCTCAGAAAAAATTAAATGTTAAACACAGTTTTCAGTTCATTCAAAATTGAAATAAAATACAATTAACGAACGAGCTTCATGCTTGCATTTCGGCGCAGTTTCGAGATTTATTCATTAACAACAGTTTTTTCAGCTATTTTTCAAGTGCAAGTGCACGGTGAGCGGTTAGAATAAATGTGTATAACTGTTATTCCAAGCAATGCGTTGAGTGCTAAAAGAAACTAGTTGGTTTCGAATCAGCGGTGGGTGGGTTGTGAATAGTTATTTTTAAAAATATTTAATTTTTTTTTGAAATAAGGGTGCTGTAAATGCTTTTGCACAGACCTTTTCAAATATTATAATATGATTCGTGACTGATTCAGTGGTTCTTAGGATGAGCTTTCGAATTATTTATGGAATTTTTATTTGGTTTGGCATAGCGGTTCTCCCAAATCGCACGATTGACGCAAACCTTTCAGGGTGATATTCTACGAATAGCCTCTTCAAGTCAGAGCCTCCCGCTGAAGGTTTACAGGTCTGAAATCACCGCTTAATGCTTACGCACTTGCGCATGCGTCTAAGGTGACCGATATGCTTATTTTTATCCGCTATTTATAGAAGACTGCTGCACTTCTTGCTGCATTATTGCATCCATTGTACATATGTATTTGTCTACATAATATATGAATGTATTGTACATAATATAAGCATGCTTGAGTGACGCACAAGCGTAACAGCATAAAAAGGTTGCCTATTGATTGAAATAACTGCTTAGAGAAACTGAAAGACACCATAAAACCACTTGTAAAAGGTAAATAGACGAAAAGTATGCGTATGTGTACAATAATATATATGTACATATATGTATGTATGTGTACATACATAACGTATATAAACCTGTTTCCTTACTTGCCTAATTGTTTGTTATTTGCTTCATACAGCATGTAAGATTTGAGACATTCTTCTGCATTACTGACGCCTGAGTGTTGTTTAAAAAATAATTACAAGTATGAAAAATTATATAAAATATAAAAATATTTAACTTGAAAGGTTACTAACTTGTATATTTACTTCATAATCGAAACTGGTTTCTTTTTTCTTATTTTTTTTTTTTAATTTCAATTTTAATAATCTTACAGAGATGCTTTGTGAAGCTTCATTAAATTGTTACGGGCCAGTATTCGAAATTAGAAAATGAGATTTTATACACAACATGCACTGATCTTATCTCATTTAGGGCAGCTGCTTTTCCTTTTTTTTTCTTTTCTTAAAGGGCGAAAAAGTTTTCTCACTAAAAAAATCTTCTAATTTTCGAGTACTCATGCTGGATCTCAACAAAGTATAACCGATTTTTATTCTTTCTAAGCTTTATTAATCAGAAATGTTTGCTTTTGTTGGAGTACTAAAATTTCGATTTATAATCCACTCCACAGAGTCACAGTCTATTTTACCTAGTATGAATGACAGCTACCTTAAACCATATATTTGTGTCTTTGAAATTGAAGCACTCTAGTCCTCAGTTAATGAAATGTTATAATGAAGTTTTGAAAAATTGCTTTTATCTTCAGGAAATTGCTTATTTATCGAAAATGTCGATATCAGACCACTATGAAAATAGCTGCAATACAAACGAAAGGATGAAGTCCTTGCATGGAAAACTTTTTCTATATGACCAGATATTCACAAAGTTTGATCAGGTTAACGAATAATCTCCGAATAAAATTTTCAGATCGGACCTCGTAGATAGCTATCATACAAACGGACCGATCAAAATCAACAAAAAAAAAAAAAAAAAAAAAAAAAAAAAAAAAAAAAAAAAAAAAAAAAAAAAAAAAAAAAAAAAAAAAAAAAAAAAAAAAAAGCATACTGTAATTAATTGAAATTTTTTCCAAAATTTGTTTTTAGAAAAAAAAACGCGTTTGAAAAATTTCCCACTGAGTAAGAGCTAATCACTTTAATGTCACGTGAACTATAAACATGTCTCAATTTCAATTAAAAATATTTGGGAACATATTACCCAACAGCTTTACTCTGTTCATAATTTTAAAAATCTTAATTAATTCTTAAATCTATGTCTCAATTTTCGAAACTCTTGTTAAAGTCAATTTCCGGAATACCAGATCGTTCGTTTTTGTTTACTGCTTCGGCTCACCTTTGCCACAATCTTTGGCCGATCGATTGTTTGTTTTGTTGTTTCCGAGTCGTAAACATACATCCGAGACTCATCGCTAGTAATAATACGTTTCATGATATCCTGCAGGCCGGAAAGTATTGTTTCATAGATTTTAAAGCGACGCTCTTTTTCGAAAAAAAAGTGATTTTGGAAGCAAACTTTCTTTCATTTTTCTTATCTCCAAATGAAGTTTAAAAATAGGTTTCACTGATCTTTCAGAGAGACAAGCATATACTATACAATAATAATTATTTTGATGTTACATTTGGCACAGATGCCACTGGCAGTCATGTCTACTTTGAAAAACAAATTTTTAATTGAAAAGTCTTACTATGTTTTGCCCACAGCAGTTAGTTTACACCAAATTTCGTGAAAGAAAAAGAATTTTTGTACAATATACATTGCATTTTTGTTGAAGTGAACGCGCATGCTTGCAGTATGTATGTATACCATATACATGCATATGTATGAAGATACATATAAGATGTTATTAACCAATACACACAAACACATATGAACAAACCACAATCAAAGCGGTGATATTACATTTGATCTGGTAACTCAATAACATTTCAAGGGACAAATGAGCGATCAGCACAGATTTTTTGGTTTGAGTGCCTCAGCATACAAACATACATATATTTATTTGTATATATGTATGTATGTATGTGTGAGCATGTGTACAATTGCAATTGCCATTGCATTCCGTTTATTTATTTATTTTCGAATTCTTACTTTTACCGCTTCGCTGCGCGTCAGGTGTTTTTCGTCGATCTTTGACTAAATGCATGGCAAATGCATGTCGATGTGTGCGTGAGTGCCATTGCCACTCTTACACACACACACACACAGTGCTTTCCAAGCTGTGCGAGCGTGTAAATGGTGAGTGCATTAAAAGCCACGGCCAATAAAAATACACCAGCAAATGTTGAACAAAGAGCACGCAGAGTGTATAAAATATTTGGTAAAATCGTAAATGAAATGTGGCTTAAGCTTAAGCACGCTTCAATATTCATATAAGTATATGTATGTATGTGGATTTATATGCACGTATAACACACACAAGCACACACACATTTGTTTGCTGTAAAGTAACATATGGAAAGACCCTACTGGAGCATCGGTAAGCGTCAGTGTCAAACATAACGCAAATGTATGGAATGTTAACTCCTTCAAGTTGAGGATCGTTTGAAAAGGTAACTTCGGCAGCTGTACATAACAAAGCCGAACGAATCGTTAATTCAAGCGATCGTGTATCTTTAACTCGACGGCTATATTATCGTTGGTCACGGATTACTATAATCGGCTGTTATAAACAAAAGCGTGAAAAATCCGTGATTTTTCTGTAAAATGAAGTTGTTTGAGAAATCTAACATTCTAAAGGCTGCGTGCAAAGAACGGAATACGAAGCATGGAAGGTTAGAACATTCTGCTGCCTTGTATTAGTTACGGTCTTCTTCTAATATAACATACTACTACTATAACTAACATACTACTACTGTAATATATATTATCTTATTCATTGAGGTAACTCACATATAGGTCACCCGTAACCCGGAAGTTCGAAAATATTTATATTTTGTATATGGGGACTCAGTGAAGTATTGACCTGATTCAACTCATTTTTGATACACAGAGATACTATGGCCAGGAAGAATTCTCACTGAATTTCAATTATATATTCCATATATTGACCGATATTTTCAGACAAACTATTTCAAATTTAAGAAAAATGCTCACTTTTGAAGATGAAAAAGATAGTGTTGTTTTGTGAAGTTACTCTACCTACCCAGTCGCAAATTAATGAAAATAATTTATTCATGTCATGAACTGTTTCCTGTTCTCAACTGAAAACAGAAAAAAATTCGCAGATCACCGAATACCTATTTCTCGCTAAGTTTCTAATAAGAATATGATAATAATGTTTCTAATTGGGACTTTCTGCACTACAAAAAACTTATGTCCAGCAGGGCATGTGTATGTGGAAAAATGTTTACATATGCATTTGTGAAGCAAGTCTTTTCAGCTCTGTAAGCAACTGGTCAGTACTAAATTATAGATATTTTTATTGCAATAAAGCTGCAAATATTATTCTCGCACTTCTATCCACGACATATCGAAAACTAACGAATGCTAACACAATTTTCGTCAAAAAAAAGTGTTAGTATTTTTTCAAATTTGCTCAGTAACATAGTTATTTAACCTTATTATTTTCAGTTTTCCGTTTCATAAACGCTGCGAAAACATATATGTACATACACACACACACACCTTTTTTTTGTTTTGCGCTCACTTCCGACTGCTCCAGCTTTCAATAGAGTGAAAAATGTGGCAAAAAAAATTTCTTTCAMAATGGCATTCGCACACGATTCGTATGAAATCAGCTTATTTGCATAACAATTTCAGGTTTCAATTTCATTTTAACCAAACATTGGCACACAAACTGCACTGTGCATTATTGGAACACTCACTCATAAGCCTGATTTTATATTGGTTATTCACTTTACTCTTAATTAATATGTTTCCACACTTCAGTTTTCCTTGCTTTTGTTTGACAATATACATATATACATATACTTATGTACACACTTATACATATATATAACTAGTTCTGTTGTTTTCGTTTTTTTTTTTTCTCAACGCGCGTTTTTGTGCTTGCGTACGCGCAACTTTCCTTATTCGCCACGACTCGATCGCTTGCCAGCCGCGCTAAAACTGCGCTCCAATTCGACTGGAGAAGCACTCTTAACATCCAAAAATCGGTGGCAACCGTCGCTTGCTGCCAACCTGCAATACAACGACAAACCGAGTGGAGGAGCCCCCATACACGTATGCGCTCAGCTTTAACCAGACTTAATAATGGTAACAGTATTGGTACGGAAGAGAAGACGAGAGCGAGTTAGAGAAACATTCATTTGGTGAGCAAAAGCATTTGGCCAAAATGAGTTTGTAGCAGCTTAGCCAAGAGCTTGTGGAAGCAGTGCTTGCATGTAGTTTACTACTTTGGAGATGCAGTTGGATAACTACATGTTTGTGGCTGTAGTGGTGTGTTTGTTTTGTTTCTGTGCGTTTGCATGTGTAAATAGGTGTGATCAGCTGTAGATAGTTATTTCGTTTATGTGTTTGATAAAGATGCAAACTTTTAGGCGCAAAATAAAAAATCTTACCATATTTAATTAGTTACAAAATTTAATAAATACATATTAAAGAGCTTATATACGTAGGTTAATTTATAAAAAATACTTTTTCTAGAATGTAAATATATTAGAGGATATTCTTTGAATAAATGAAATTGCTGAAACATGCAGTTTCCGAGATACGGACGTATTCAGAGTCAGTGAGCAATATTTCTCCGAAACGCCTCTAATGATAATATGGATTCTCTAAGCCACTCTAAATGAAAATTTTCTCACAAAAAGAAATTTTTTTTTTTGAGCAGCCGCCATTTTCTCATAAATCTGAATTTTGAGTGGTACTACGACTTTAAAAAACAGAAAAAATGTTTTGGGCAAACTCAATTTATTTTTATTTGTTTTTTTAAATAGTCTCCTTCTACTTCAATACAGCTTTTTGCACTGTCCATAAGCATGTCGAACGAGTGTTTTAGCTCGTTCGCCGGTATGGACGCCATTATGCCGGTGCAAGCCTTATGAATGGCCTCTACGTCGGCATAACTCTTTCCTTTCATGGGCAAATGCATTTTTACGAAAAGGAAGAATCCGCACGGCGCCATATCTGGTGAATACGGCGAGTGATTAATGGTTAGTTTTGATTTTTGGTCAAATAATCGGTTGTTGTTGTTGTAGAGGCAGTGTTGTGAAGAGTTGACAGTGGTAAAAATCGGATAAAAATCCGGTCCGTTCCGGCTACGTAGACCCGATTGCCGTGGGAATGGTCATAAGCGTCGATCGATCGGAGCAATTTTTGGTCGTCTGTCAATTAGTGCGGAATACACCGTGCACACACCTTTCGTAAGCCCAAATGTTCGGTCAAAATGCGATAAATCGATGTTTTGGAGATGTTCAATTCCATTTCCATGAATTTCAATGATGATTTCCGCTGATTTTTGATGGATTGCTATGGAATTCCCAGTTTGTTTTTTGGACTAGACTTAAGTCCTGCTTACTTTGGAACGCACCTTGTATGTGTACAAATTAATAAATTTAAAAATATTCTAAAAAAAAAATCGCTTTATTGCCTTCTTAACTGTAAATCACCCGTTAAGGACAGTATTACTTAATTTATTAACTTAGCAAAATACCTGTTTTTTGAAATATCATTTACCTGGAGAATTTAAGTTACAATTTCCGGGTACTTTTTTTCTCACAATGTTGGTATCTGATATTTTTAACATCGATGATTATCCGAAACTAGTGCCCATTGAGCTAATTTCCTGCTGTTAGGTTAACTTAAAGATTTGAAATATCTCAAAACGACGTCAAAAGAGCATCATAAAAAACACATTTTTGAATAAAAATAATGTAATTTTGGCTTAAGAAATGAAAATAAATTTTATTTCAAAACTTTGTTGTGTCAGTTTAGGGTATTAACAAAATGTGCACTTGAAGGTTTGATATTAATTTATTAATTATTTATTTAATCGATTGGAAAGACTTATTGAATCTTACTGAATTTTGGAAATATTTTTTCAATTCAAATACATATAAGTACTATAGGCTTTTCATTTTATTTGCGATGAGTTTTCAAGCTTGACATATCCGTTCATTGCATTTTTGTTGGGTTTTTTTAAGTACTTTATTAATGAATTTAGCGTAGGCGCTTAGTAGGATAAATTGAACATAACCTCCTGTAGCGCATTCTACATAATGTACCCTATTACTTATAGCGATGGGTCTTTTATCACTGTACATTGGATTACCTCGAGGAGCCGAACATGTGGAAGCCGGAATAGGACATACCGCGCAATAAACATCTGCACCTAAGGTAGTGTCGTTATAGAAATCTTTGCAAGTCTGTAGAGGAAACCCGTTGAATGTTGCTGTATTTATGGTTTCAGAAGGAGGAGCACATCCCACTGATGTGACATTTTGAGGAAAACCATCAACGAAATCAGTACCTACAGGTTGAGTAGCTCCAGTAAAGGCAAACGGTTTGGTTGTGACTGCTAAACACAAATCTTCCTGTACAAGTGTTTCACTGACTAGCCGAAGTTGCTCGTAAGTTGAACAATTTTTTTTGTTCACTTCATATTTCCATTGCCTTTGAACTGAGAATTATTAGTCGAATTATGTAAAATAATTAACAATAACTAAGGCAAATAAATTGCTTACCCAACATTGCTTACTGCACTTTTACCATTTGAATAAATATTTAGACAGTATATTTGTTTGTAGAACATTCGTAAATTTATTTAGCGGATTGTTGAATAGTACAACAACATGGAGAATAAGGGCGAGTTGATATTTATAAAACTGTGAAAAAACACTTAATACAGTAAGCACCTTTCGCGTGTTCCAAAAATTATTATGACAACTCAATTTCTTCTTGAATAAAGCCGAATTTTAATTTCGTTGACAACACTTTGGACTTCAGCAAAGAATTCTTCGAGGAACAAATAGTTCCATAATTATAATTTATTTTGTTTTTGTTAAATTACTTTAGAATTTTTCTTGGTATTTCACGGAGAATACTTCCACCGAACTTTATTGAGATCAACTCGAAGGCTTATAGATCACAAAAAATGATTCCTACGGTAGGATTTGTCACACATCGACATACATTCATTATAAGATTCATTATATCTATAGAGATTGTGAATAAAATTTGAAATCTACGAAACAAAATCCTTGAATTTCGTTCATATATATCTGTAAGTATGTAATTAATCAAACGCCGCAAAGTCAGTACATAATAGCTAGACGAGAATAGATTATATTTGGACGAAACTATGCTTTAAATAGCTTAATATTTGTATTATCACTTATCTTAGGCCCCTATACATAATGAGACCTGTAAGCAGTTTGTAGAAGCTCATAATGAACTTATCTTCACGCAGAGTTGCTCTTGTGTTTAGTACAAAAACCTTATGGTATATATTTCGTGCTATGAGAGAGTATTCTGGATATCCTATCAATTTTCTTCGATAACCATACTCTTTATATCTACTAATAAATAGCTGCCCTTCGCGGAAGCTTGGTCAGCGTGGAGCGTCCATCGGTACAAAGCTTTTTGGTCTTCAGTAAGGCTAACCTCGCCCTAGTTTCTATTCACGTCCAAGCAGTATGACTGGGGATCCTACCAGGCGCCATCTGCATATCGTCCACCATGAGCAAACCGTCAATGCGAAGATTTATGTGTAAGTCCTCAAGCGAATCAAATGAAGGGTCAATCGGGTCCGAAAAGACATCTCCGCCTATTGGGAGTTATACCACGACAACGTCCCTTTTTTTGTGAACAGCTATCTAACCAAGACCGGCACCCCAACGTTTCCGCAGCCGCCCTACAGCCCAGATGTGGCCCCTGGACTTTTTTGTTTCCTTGCGTGAAAAGACCGATTAAAGGCAAGCATGCACCTCGGCTCACAAATGCCTTGATCACACGTAACGAGTAGAGCGGCCAGACAGTGACTCGGCCGAGTGCTCGTTTCGTTTAATGAACCGAGTCAGTGGGCGAGTATAGTAGCGAGAGAGTCAATAGAATCACATTTTATTTACTAGGCCGAGTGCTTCTTTTTTCTTCACTCTTTTGCCCCTTCTGAGCAAATCACTGACGCGCTCGTTGCATGTGAACACGCGTTCGGTCTTCACCCGCCACTCGGTCGACTTTTATGTTGTTTATTTAGTTTCAATTGAATTTTGCATTGTGAAAGAATTGAAATGGCAAATACTCTTTTATGAGATGCGGTAGAACTTCATTAAAAACTCTTTTAAAGTGTCTTTTTCTACCAAACATTGTAGATATAACTTTGAAAAACTTCACTGTCTAACTAGATGAACAAAATACGTGTAAACCTCTACTCGCCAACGCAACTCTCTCGACCGAGTATCATAAGGGGCCAGAATACTGTCTCGCCACTGTACTCGCTAGTGTAACAAGGCCAAAAGTTATTCCGGAGAATGCCTTCAGTGACGCCTTTAAAGCTTCGAAATTGCGATGGCAACGCTGCATCGACGCAGAAGAAGGATAATAAGAAAACATTACTATTTAATATAATATATTTTTTTAACTTGTATATGTATGCTAGAGTCTTATATTCTCAACAACTTAAAACTTAAACATCAGCTTAATTGCCAGCTTTTAAATTAAATTTGTTTTAGCTGCGGATGCTAGGCTGCGCTGATACTTTATGCCATGCTCCATAAAAGTAAACGGTGGATTTGGTTGCGTTAAACAAAAGTAGACACCTTTAGCCTGTTTGGGATACTTCAAGCCAATCGCCAAGGCGTCACTGAAATCACATTGCCGCTTACGGAAGTGTGACCAACTATCACATTTCACCGCCGGTATCATAACACCCTCGATCAGAGCCTCCATAAACAAAACAAACGAGTACATGTGACTGCAGCTCCTCGTATCACAGCCAGGCTGTAGTTTACGACGTGTAAAAAAGCCGATACCATTCGGATAGATATCAATGGTGCCGCGTTGTTCACGCACACCAAATACATCACCCTCACCGTGTATAACGATGACGCGACTGCTGACATTCGCCTGTACATATATGTCAGCTGGACTACACATCAATGCCGGATCAATGGCCACCAATTGACCGATGCGTACATTAGAGCTGGACACATGGTCGGCATAGATGTTCGCTGCCATTGCCGCTATATTGGCACCCACGGAATGACCCGCCAAGGTAACATCCTCTGGTGCTACGCCCTTTTGCATCAACACGTTGAGTATTTTCGCCACAAAATGACCCTGTACGGCGACGTGATGACGCACGGTGTAATATAATTGCAACACATCTCTGGCGAAGTCCACAACAACAATATTGAGATCACGTCGTGTCGTCTGTAATAGCTTTAGATGCGATTGCACACTGAAATAGCTGTCGGGTGTGTAGTAGGCATTCACATAGACTAAGGTCTTGCGCTTCGGATTGATGTCGAAGTCGCTGACCTCGGATATCGCCTTGATGGGCAGTTGTATGCTTTGATTAGTGATCGTCATGACATGTATGCTGGCATCGCAGGGGTTTATGCCGCTGTGCAGCAGCATGACAGACTCATCAACGGGTGCCTCGCCTATAAAATGAGAAAAAAAGAAAAGGTTTTAGTTGGCGTTGAGAGCCTCACGTTAAAAATTTAATAGCTACTCACAGAACGCCTTCCAACCAAGCGGCAATGCTTCCTGCAACAACTCAAAGTTTCGCTGCTGAATCGCTTCCACCGTTGGTTGTTGTAACCAAATTAATTCCTTCGCCGCTTGTGCATCTGCGCTGCCACATGAGCAATAGAAAAATATGCTAATTAACCACAAACCCTGTAGGTAAATGCGTTGTTGTTGTTGCATTTTGGTTAAGCTCCCAGCGGAAAGGCGTGAAATAAACAGCAGTCTGTGTCGCAGTCTAAACTCATTCAACCGACCGTTAGTGCGCTTCGTCGCTCTATTGCTATATGCTTGACTTTAGTGCGCACGCTTTAAAGCTTTTATTGCAAATCTCGTATGTGGTCTTTTCTACTCGCTGCTGCGTACTCTTATCAGTGTTCGCTATCACGAATCGTAATCAGAGCCCGACTCAAGACAATCGCGACGCGGCACGTTTCTGTTGTTGTGTGATCGGAAGTGCAAGTATGGCTAAGTACTCGAATTACCAATGATTAAATTCACTCAAACATATACTCATATATGTATACAGTGTAAGCCGATATCAGTGAGTTCAAGCAAGATAATGTCAATTTCCTTGGTTTTTATATCCGCGCTCGACCCGCTAACGGTTGTGTGTTCTGGCGTGAAATAATCGCGATAAATATTTAAGAGTAGCCTCGTATATAGCAAAATCAAGAGTATTCCGAGTAAATGAGTCAACGTGGAGTCATTTTTTATGGAGCAAAAACTCCGAAAGAGCCTTTCGTTTATATATATGTGACCTGGTCTACGAAAAGGGAGCTAACGTGCGAAAACTAGTTTTCTATCACGTGAAAAAGCATCTCATCTTCCATCCGAATCAACTAAAAAGTGAAAATTGATTTTTTGACACCTAAGCCCCCTTTCCGTAGACCAGGTCTTCTTCTTCTTCTTGATTGGCGTAGACACCGCTTACGCGACCAGGTCACATATAGTCAAAACAAATATTGAATAAATCTATGCTCTGTTCCATCTTTAAATATTTTTTCAATAGATGACAACTATAATCCAAAAATATTTTGAAGTTAACTCCATTCCGAGAGTCCTACTTTTATTGTAGTATTTTCATTTTTATTTTTCTATAATAAAAGGTGGCTACGCTAGTCCGAAAATTTTCTATTTTCGAGACTTTACGTTTACTTAAACCTCTATTTTGATAACCAGTTATTATTATTATAAGATGGCCGGTTCCGCCCGAAATAACACTTTCTTACTTTTGCTACACAGTTGGTTGTAAGCATAAATGTTTTAGACACGTCGCTATTGCTGAGGGAGTCATCTTTCATAAACGACAAAATATTAGAAGAAATTCGACAAAAACATGAGCAATTTTGGAATCGAAAAGCCAATAAATGTATTTAAACTCGGATGTGTGTGCACCTTAAGGTCAGCAGTGCCGTCGGTATTATATTACCGTTATTCGCAAATAAAAAATAAAAATTGTTAGCATTTAAAAAATTTCAAGTATTCAGTAGCTAAATAATTGTGTGTGACTCTGGATGAAATTATTGAGGTTTCTACATACCAACTATCGATAATATTTTTATTGTGATGATAGTATTTAACTTCCCAACTTATGATTGTGCTTTTTATAAAAGAGAAATATAGCTTAGGTACATTTAATAAAAATGTGTTTATTACTTTTAAACTGCCTTACAATATAGATCTTGTATATTACATACATATATACATATATAAATATATAAGAACAAATTACTTGAAAGCTTTTACCTTAATAAGCGTCTGAATAAAAGCTCAGCTGGTTTGCGTCTTTGCTACTAGAATTTGTGCGTAGGTTACACATCTAAATTAGCAGCAGCTAATAATGCTCATTACTTTCTTGTCATAAGGGTTAAAAGTTGTATTTCATATATTTTCGATTAACTGTTTAATAAAACAACTTATACCAGCTGGACTAAAATGCTTAAGCACTTTCGAATTGGTAACCGAATTGGGCAGAAGTAAAGAGTTTATTGTAGGTGTGGAGTGGATTTGAGCTTTATCTTCTTCTTTGATGGCGTAGTCGTTGTTCCGTTTAGCTGTTTGGTGCCAATAGGATATTTCAAGTCTAGCCGGGACCTTCTCCACCTGGTCGTTCCAACGGAGTGGAGATCTTCTCTTCCTCTGCTTTCCCCGGCGGGTAATACGTCGAATACTTTCAGAGCTGGAGTGTTTTCATCCATTCGGACTGCATGACCTTGTCTCTTAAGTATATTTCGTACAGCTCGTCGTTCCTCCTATTGCTGTATTCACTGTTGCCAGTGCGCAAATGACCATAAATCTTCCGCAGAATCTTTCTCTCGAAAACTCATAACGCCAACTCATCAGATGTTGTCATGGTCCATGCTTCTACGAGTACACAATATAGCAGGACAGTGAAGATTAGTGACTTATTGAGTTCGGTTTTTGTTCGCCGAAAGGCACTTTACATCTCAATTGCCTACTTAGTTCGAAGTAGCACCTGTTGGCAAGAGTTATTCTGTGTTGGACTTCGAGGCTGACGTTGTTGCTGGTGATAATGCTGGTTCTAAGATAGACGAAATTATCTACGACTACAAAGTTATGACTGTCAACAGTTACGTGTGAGCCTAGTCGCGAGTGCGATGGCTATTTGTTTGGCCAGACCCATTTGCTCCGCTTCTTTATCAGGTCTAGAGAAAGCAGAACTAAGGGGTGGCAGGGGCGGTTGTTGAGGACAATGAAATCAATATCATAGATGGCGCCACCATAGGGCCGCTAGATTCAAAAAGTCCTGTTTACCTTGGAACTCACACTGTATCAACATAAACATAGCTCCTTTTCGTGGTGTCAAAATTACCTTTAAAATCGGCGAAGATAAAATATGTGTCACGGGTATTTTCATAGTGAAAAGCTGGTCAACTATTGGTTTTCCAGGCCAATATAGAAAAACTGATTAGGTCCAATCAGCTAATTGACGGTGAGCTTTAATCTTTTACACAATACGCTCGATAGAACCTTATATGCTGAGCTTGGTATATTAAGCCACCAAGTTTGTAAGCTCAGAATGATCTGCGTGCGGATCTAAGTAGATTTAGACTTCCGTGTGTATATAATTGAAACCGATAATTGTTACTGGTTTCTTCATCAACTTTTCAGAGCATAACTTTGTTGAAGCTTATAAAAACTTAAGGTTTTGGAGTCGATTCGAGCTTTAAAAGCACACCTAGTAATTTTTCTAAGCTATATGTTCGTATTCTCACCAATTATCCATAGACCAAGCCATCTTTAACAAGAAGTGAATAAAACTAAATATTTTCCAAATTTTCCTGAGTATTTTTGCTTCGTATATTCTAAGTCCGTGCATTTGATAATGGGTTACAGAGTGCAAATTTCGATAATTTTTATACATATAGTATATTTTAACTAGGATAATAGGTTGAGTGCTTAATTAAGATTTCATTTAAAAAATTTACTATAACTTTAAAAGAATGATGTTACTGCATTCTCTTGATGTCTCTTAATACTTTATTTTATCCGTTGCAGTTTTCTGGTTTTTTGGTAATTAACTTCAAATTTTTAATTAACATTTTTACTAAAACAAGCGCAATGCCGAAATGCAACGCTGTCGCTTTACCTTTCTTCAAGCTATGACGTCACAGTGGCTGCGGGTTCGTGACTTGCCGCTTGTGCTAGAGAAAAATTATGCTAATGAGGTAGTTGCGGTTGATTCATAGTATTCAATAATCTGCAATGCTCCGAATCGCAAAAAATTGTTTGTACACATTTGTTGTTTTGTTTTTCGTTCTTCTCTCTCTACTCGTCTCCTTAATTCTTTGTACTAAATTTAAGAAAAATAAAAAGGTAATTTTTCAAATCAAACTTAGAGAAACGGAAATGAAAAAACTCAGGTTATGTTTAACTAAACTAAAATTGTTTCTTTTATTTTTGAGTTGTTGTATTTTTAGACTAGGAACATTTAAAATAAAAACGTAAAAATAAACGCATAAATTAATCACATACAAATATGTAAGTATGACCTAAATTAACACAAATTGCTTTTGGCTATTAAAGTTAAGCGCGGAGATTTTCTGTTCAAACATTTAAATTAAGTCAATAAATACTATGGTAAGTTCTGCAAGACAAACACTTATTTTACATATAACATCTCCTTATCTCATATAGCTTCTAGCTAGTGTCCATACGCATTTTGATCAATACAGACACTTTAGAACTTAATGCCAGCCTGTACTTGATCCATAATGTTGGCGGATTTCTGCAATTGTTCTACTTCGGTGGTTGTCAGAATCTGCTTGACGATTGAGGTGATGCCATTGGCATTCAACACACAGGGCAACGACAAAAATACATTCTTGTCAATACCGTGTTGTCCCTAAAATAACAATAATAAGAAAAACAATTAATTTAACTTTGATAATTATCAAATTTCCACACACAAACTCACCAGTACACAGGTTGAGACGGCAACAATGTTGCTGGTGTTGTTCAAAATTGCCGAGGCGAGCGAAGCGGTGCTCAAGCCAATAGCCCATGAAGTGTAACCCTTCAACTTGATCACTTCGTAGGCGGAATCGACGACCTTCTTGTGTACATCCTCCCAGTTTTCTGGATCTTCGGTGGTGCCAATGTTGGGATTCAATTCACGCAAACGTACGCCGGCAATATTCACACCGGACCATACGGGCACTGAACTATCGCCATGCTCACCGATAATCCAGCCGTGGCAAGAGGTGGGCGCCACATCTAAACGTTGTGACATCAAGAAACGGAAACGTGACGAGTCCAAATTGGTACCGCTGCCAATGACACGATTCTTTGGCAAACCAGATAGCTTCCAAGCGACATAAGTCATAATATCAACTGGATTGGAGACCATCAACAAAATGGTGTCGGGTGAGTATTGCACCAGCTTAGGAATGATGTGCTTCAGAATGTCAGTGTTGCGTTGCACCAACGACAAACGGGATTCACCCTCCTTTTGACGTACGCCGGCGGTGACGATGCACAGACGTGAGCCAGCAGTTGCTTCGTAATCGGTGCTGGCGGTGATTTTGGGATTCTTAAGGAAATTCGAGCCATGTTGCAAGTCCATCATTTCACCTTGCACCTTATCCTTGCACACATCGACAAGGCAAATTTCGTTGGACACATTTTGTGCGAGAATACTGAAAGCGCAAGCCATGCCGACTTGGCCGATGCCGACAATGCTGACTTTACGTCCGCTGGAAGGTAAAACTTCGGCCACTTTGGACATGAGATTTTCCGATACGCCAGCCATTCTAACTGCAAGAGAAAGGAGTTAAGAAAATGAGGTTATTAATATGTCGATTATGTAGGTCATAAGATATGAACAAAAGCGACTGTGTTGCCGAAATTACCGTTAGTTCGCAGTACCAAAAAAGTGTAGAAAAAAAATTATTTGAATATTTTTCCATCATTTTGCAGTTATTATATGTGTTCCATATGTATATCTACATATATCAATACATATGTATGTACGCATACACCCCCTCCTCCGGTCAAGAATCTTCATTTATTCTACCTTAACTCACTTGCTTGGCGACCGCGCTCATGTGACCAAAATGGCATGAGTGCCTTTATCACATGCCTGCAGTCTGTTATTGCTGAGTTGTTGCGTGCCCCACTTCCACGTGCCGTTTATGCAATCAAAATTATTATACCTATATATTTATTTATATATAATAACGCTGACCTACTCACTGCTAAAATGTCGCTCTTAGTTCACAATATTTGAAAGGAAAATATTTCCCAACTGGCGCCAGTTAAGGCAACCTTCATGAAGGTTATTTCAATTTCTGCATTTACACGCAGTTTTGTCGAAAATCGCATACATACATACAGACATACACATACATAGGTATACACGCACGAAGAATGCCCAATATGTTTTAGCTAAGCGCCAAAAACAAGAACAAATAAATAAAAATTTTCTCTTTCATCAGTTCAATGAAGCGAAATGTTAATAATTAAATTGTATTTTAATTATGAGCAGGCGTTGGCGGGGCCATGACGAGTTGGAACAAGTGTGTATACACTAAAACAAAAGCAATTTAGTGGCTATATTGTCTAGTTTAAATTGCTTGCCGCTAATGCATGCCACAAGTGGAATGAGTTAATGTTTTATTATTAATTTTTCCAGAACTTTTCATAACTTGGACGTTTGCAAAAATTCAGAACGATATCTCAAAAACCGGGCGACTAATTGGCGTATATACGAGTATAGATAAGCATTAAAACATAATATACTCCATTCAGTATATGAAAAAGTACGAAATCAATAAACCTATCTCCTTTACCAAAAAAATTTTTCAAGGCCGGTTTTTTCGCATATTTTGCTATTTATTTGCATAAATATTTACATACATAAGTATGTGTATGACTAAGTGCTTTTAGCCTCTTAAAATGTTTATGGCTTTCTTTCACTTTGGAATTCACGTGCATACTTTCAAGTCCAATATTTATTTTAGTCAATAAGAATTTGGTGATAAGATTACCCTCTATATGCCGTATGCGTAAGAAATAAGTAGGTGCGGTTATGTGTATAATTATACGTAACTGTATAAAGAATTTTGTCGATTTTGGTTCCCGTACTGAATGAACTGGCACATTATCTTTAGTTTATTGTTGGCTATAAATTTTAGTTATACACACATACTTAACACAGTTATAGTCACATCATTTTTTTTGCAACATTTGCAAAAGTGTGTATCTTATCTGCGGGTTTCTGAGGAAAAACTAGTATTATGAACCTGAACATGCATTATCGAATCGATATATGAAAATATTTTTAACGAGTTTTTTTTTAGAAAAAAAGTGTGGCGTAGCAAAAATACTAACGGTTATCACAGTTCGAGTGGGCACAAAAATGTACTGTTTGTTCGGAGGGTTTTAAGTTCGAGAACAGTACAATAAGTTCATTTTGCAGCATTTAATAATTCTGAGAAAATAACATATTTTTATGCTACGTATGTGAGGGTGTTTTTTTTAATTATTTTTTTTTTCAATCTTCTCATAAAATTCCCTGAAAATAAACTAAAAAAAATTCATAGCTATGAAAATTCCAAGCAGCCTTACTCAAAAAGCCGAATATCTCGAGAAGTATTAATGATAGCGATTTTGCGATCCGGAGAAAAAATTTACCTTATTTTTGTAGCTCTTGTCATTTACGAGATAAATACAAAAAAACACGAATTTCATGGAAAAATCGGGTTTAAGCGTTCGTACTACCTCGCCGGTGTGTGTTACGGTTTTGTCGCAATGGACACTTTTGTAGGGTATTCAATTCTGAGGAATAGGCGATACTAAAAATGCCTCTGAGCTATAGAAATTTAAAGATTTAAAATCACGATTTTCGTGTATTTTCAATGGACAATCTTTACATGTCTTGGCTTAATATGAATATTCATTTTCAGGGAATTTTTTTAGTGTATTCCCAGGAAAATTTCACGAGTAGATGAAAAAAAAAATATTAAAAAAAAACACCCTAATATACATACATATGTCGACCTAGTATATTTTTGTTACAGTTTTCGAATTTTTTTCTAAGTGTATTCAAACATTTTTTATGATATGCCTTGTTGTTATTATGATTATTTTCAATTATAAACAAATTTTTGATATTATTTGTTGTAATATATAAATATGCCAACAAACGCGCACTTTGCTGTGCAAACTCAATTAGTAAAACCCTACAAATAAATATATTGTACATATGTATGTATAGATATGTATATGTATATACCTTGCCTGCATTACAATCGCATACATTTATTTATTTATAATGATTTATAATCTCAAAACTAGCTGCGATTTTATTTCTCCTCTTCCTTTACTGATAATAAAAACCTTATCAGCGCGACGCGCAATGCCACTCAATTAGCTTAATAACGGTAAATTGCAATTTATTAAAATTATTGCTACTAATTACGATGACAAATATTTTCGTCATAAATTATTTGGTTTTAGAAAATAGAGACTTAATTATATTATGACTACAACATAGTAGAATCCACTTTTTACTTGCCTCTCTAATTTCATGGAGCTATTTGTGGAGGCGCTCCTACTTCAGCTCGTGTACCAATCGGTACCTCCACAAACAACCGACACCCACCAATTTCGCTTCCGCTACTTGGATAAATAAATACATATGTACATACGCATACGAATCGTTATTAACGGAAATAAATGTTTGTATGTATCTAAGAAGGGGAGCCGAAAGCGTACCAGCCAAAAAAGATTTGTCCTTCAGCTAGCATTTTCAAAGTCATAACCAGGCCCAGTGTATGGCTAAAAACATAACAAAGAAAACATTAACTTCGGTTGCACCGAAGCTAAATACCCTTCACAGGTGCATTTCTGTTAGTAACTTTGTGTTCAGTTTGTATGGAAGGTATGTGCTATCATCAACCCTCCTGAACAATTTCTTCGGAGACTACATTGTTGTCTTAGAAAATAACCTGTACCAAATTTCGTAAAGATATCACATCAAAAGTGAAAGTTTTCCATACAAGAACTTGATTCCGATCGTTCAGTTGGTATAGCATACAGCTATATGTTATAGTGGTCCAATATCGGCAGTTCCGACAAATGAGCAGCTTCTTGTAGGGAAAATGACGTTTGCAATATTTCAAAACCATATCTTAAAAACTGAGGGACTAGTTCGTATATATACAGACAGATGGACAGACGTCAAAAGGTCAACATTCTGATCATTTATATATATACTTTATAGGGTCTCCGACTCTTCCTGCTGTGTGTTACAAACTTCGTGACAAACTTACTATACTTTGTTCAGGGTATAAAAATAAGCAGCGAAAAGGAAACAGGAAAAATTTGGAACTATTTCACACTCTACCACACTTTCAAACACATCCTATATGTGTACTTAAAGCATATAAGTACATTTGCACAACTGCCACCTGCTACCATTTCTTCCACATAGTCTAGCCGACATTGCTTTTCCCGTCCTTATCCGCATCAGCTGTTAGTTGAGCATATTCGGTTTTGAAGGTGACTATTGGTGACAACATATGCATTGCGCATGTCTGCAACGAAAGTGCAAGTGAGCTGGGCGCTCAGCCAGCGAATTTGGGCAGACAGAAAGGTATATAAAATATATACATATATATTTATATAGAAGTGCATAGCTATAGTATTTGCAACTGCAGACAGAGTGACAAAAAAAAAAAACATTTTTGCGAAATACGCAATGTGATTGTTGCTGCAGCCAGAAAGGTGAATGCACCTTGTGGCAGATGCAACAGCGCTGAGTTTTTTCTTTTGTAGAAAAATATATACATATGTATGTGGTAGTTGTTATCAGCTGTCGGCAGTTGGTAAGAAAATGTGCGGGAAAGAAAAGAATGTTTGGTTGCTTCATGACCTAGAATAAATTCCAAAAATAAAGTAATATTACTAAGTTTGGATTTTATATAATATTTTCGGCTTCGCCTCAACTTTTTAACCTCAACTTTTTCAACTTGCAGCTTATTAATGGGAACCTTTTATTTTTTTGTTACCCCTCATTATTACTCAACATGAGTTTGAGAGGTTCGCACTGGATGGTATATTCACTATTACTGAGAATTATTTCATCAAATGCTTTCAATTTTGAAATCATGAAACAATATATTTCAAAAGTGATATATGTATGTATGTAAATGGCGAGCCTACAGACCACTATCAATGGAATTAAAGCAACACGCTTATAATTAAATGGTTATGAATTTCTAAAAGAGTTAGATTGAAAGTTCGACCCAACAGAGATCTCACTTGGACAACTTAGAACGGAGATCCATTGTCATACCTGAAAACCGATATATTCGCATAAATACCTTCAGAATTCTACAAAAGTTCTTTGATCATATTACAAGTTAATAGAGGGGACTAATACTATCAATTTCTGCTATCACTATGTTTCAATCTCAAACTTGTAGAAGAAAGACACTGGAGAAGTAGCCATGTTTTGTCGTTGTTGTAGCGCAGGAAATCTGACGAGTTGGCGATCCTTGGCCGAATAAAAACGCGTGTCCGTTTCGGTGTCGTAGACCCGACTGTAGTGGAAATAGAGACCAGGCTCGCTCCTCCCTTGATTTTCTAATCACTTTATGCAAGTTTAGACTGCGATTTGAAAATTTTTTATATTTTATTTTAGTAAAAAAATTAAATTTTCGTCAATAAAAGTTAATTTTTTTCCAAATTCAGCACAAGAAAATAAATAGTATATGCTAATTGTTTATCTTCTTAAAGCCATAAAAAATCATTCTGCTTTAGATTATGCATGCAACTAAAACATGAATACCAAATAATGCTGGGTTGGCCTCTTTTATTTCTAAACGATATCACTTGGTTGCCAGAAAACAATTCTTAATAATTTTCAAGGCTAATTTTAGAAATTTTCTATCTTCTGTATCGAAATATTTAGGCTACTGGAAAGCTATCGATGTACAATGTATATGCAAATAATTAATATAATATGTGTCCCCACTGTATTAGACGTCCAAAGGTGACATTGCTATACCAAAAAGACTTCACCAAAGTATACACATCATACATACTGTACTAAATACATAGTACATACTTATTTATGTAGATAAGTATATTCATATACACAGTCATAAAAGAATATGTACATATAACGAAATAAGTGAAGTTTTTTGAACCTTCCGAAATATTTTTTGTGTGCCATATTTTTTGCCTTTTTAAATATAACTTAATTTATTACTTATTAATAATATATGTATGTACTTAGTGCGATTAATATTTAGAAATTAATATTATGAAATTTCAACTTTAAATTTTTTACACACTTCGACTGACTATTTCATAGAAATTAACCCTGAGCTTTAATTACACAAAAAAATAAAAAAAAAACAATAATCACAAACAATTTGCCATTACAATTGCTAAAAATTGTGACAAAAAATTCCCATTAATCACTAAATGTTGCAATGAAAACAGCTAGGTGCATGAGGTCATATATTTACTAGGAATTGCAAAAAATCACCTTTTTATGTATGTATGTAGATGTAATGCAAAGCGCACGAATATGTGCTTATGTGTAAAAATAATGAACTACACACATATGTATTTAAATAAATAAAAAATCGTCACACTTGGTTACTGCCACATATAACAAATAGGAAACTCAATACTGGCTCTAAACAATAAATTGCATTATTGCTTCAAATCACACAATCGCTTTCCGTTTTCAACAAAAGATAAAAAAATGCATTGAAACTCGATTTATTTGCTTACATTTTTGTGTTTACGCTGTTGGTTTTGTTTTCGTACTTATTTTCTTTTTCTTTGCTCAATGAAACTTTTGCAAGTCTAGCAAAGTTGCGGTTTTGAACACTGAAAAGACACTTGGCGGGAACTGAAAGCGCGTTAAAACGTCTGCTCACGGCGACAGCGTCGAACTGTTTGACTTTGACTGGATTTCGTTGCGATACAACTACTTGACGAGCGCAGTATGAATATTGCTTATATGTACAAACGTGAATCTCTGCTGTCAGCGCTGCTGTAACGCTATGACTCGTGGTGGTGACGTAGAGGGCAGCAACAACGCCACGTTGGCCTGCAGCAGCGCCAACGACTACAGCAGTTGGAGCACGCACGCATTGTTGGTATTAGTGGTGTCGGCTGGTTGGCTTGGTTGCCTCAAGGGGGGATCACAATGAATGACGAAATTTTGGATATTCGGCATGAAAGCGGCATCGCTTCGTTTGCTTTGTTGTAGCAGCGGCGTTTGCAGTGTATGTAGTACTGTAAGGCTTTTTCGGTTGGTGTGTCAGCAATGTTTATTTGTTGTTGCTATTTTATGTATGCCGGCATACATACAATGCGTCAAGGTGACCTTTGGGGCGAGAAACACCAAAGAGAGCGCTCACAATCGAGAGTCAGCTGGTTTTTCGGGTTGCTGGCTTTGCCTTGGTCACCGTCTGTGTGATTGTTGTTGTAGCCGCTATTGCTTTTTCATTTTCATACATTGCGTATTTTGGAAATGCCGGGAGCAAAATTACTACGTACCGTATGCATGGCGTGATTTGACAAATATTAGAGACACAGGGATTTATACAGACATGTTAGCTGGGAAAGTGGGTAAACTATGGAACAGCTGTTAAGTGCTGTACAGTACCTTATAAGCTACCTGAAAAGTATCGAGTATTTGTCGATATACCCATTTTTGTTGTTCAAAATAGTATACATATTTGTTGTAACATTTTTAAACGATTTTGTGATTTTCTAGATCTCGAGTCGAAAATTATACAAAATACTGGTACAATCGTTAAATAAAATATATTTTAAATCACAAAGTTAAAATAGTGATAATCTACTATAGAAGAAGAGGCATTTTGGCTGTTCTCGAGACTTTTATATTTATAAAGTTAACTATTAATTTATATTACATTTTTCTTTCAGTGTTATAACATAATTCTTTTCGCGTAGTTTCGACTTCTTCAGAAATCGATAAATATAATTACCTGTTGTCACGGTATCCCTTGGGATATACGTACACATTTATAGTATGAATTTGTCTCTGGTAATTAGATGTCTGAAGTACTATGTAAACTTAACAATTCAAATATTAACTCATTAAATAAACATTATTGTATTGAAGTACATAAATAGAATAAAATGCAATTATTGACATTTTCGGTCCTTTTTTTTATCATAATCAAATAAAAAATCCAATAGACAAGAATCGAAAAACAATAGCACTTACTACAGATCTAATGACTTAGAGGAATACTCAAATCGATTTACAATGTGAGAAAAAAGTGCTTAGTAAAGAAATTGTAAATAAAAGGAATTTAATTTAATTATTCAATTATTCGTCAATATTCATTTTGTCGCCTTCAAAGTAGTCCCAAGCAGATTTTTCCACTTTCCGAAACACTTTTTATAAGCACACTGCCATAAGCTCCTTCAGCGAATTTTATTTTATCTTTTCCATCGACCGAAAACGGGTTCCAAGGAGCGACAATTGCAGTTCGGGAAACAAGAAAAAATCACACTTACCCAAATCTGTTGAATACGGTGGTTGATAGATGGTATTCATGGCATTTTTGGCTTTAAATTCGGTCACAATCGCTGTCTTTTTGAAAAACAAAAAAATCATCTTTATCGGGAAGAGTCGAGAAAGAATGTGCTTCATACCCACAATATCCAAGAAAACCATTCAAACGGACTCGCGAGAGATATCGAGTTCTCTCACCATTTCTCTAACACTGGCTTGACGATTTTCAAGCACCATATTCTTTACTTTTTAATACTCTCCTCAATTTAAGAACTCGAAGGTCGTCCAGAACGAGGGATATTTGAAGGTTTTGTAAAACTCGTAAGCTTTGATAAACAAAATCATTGTAAGCCTTTTCCAACAGTTGCAATGATTCAGCACATGAAATTTGGTTAGAAATACAAAATGTGAGACTAATTCTTGGTTTGATATTTTTCTGCATTGTAAAAATCGCAACGCACTAGTGAGAGGTACCGACTTAAGGGGCCAGTAGGGTAATTTTTTTTTAATTTTGTTTTTGCATTTTCTGTTCCCTTATACCATTAGAATTAATGTAGGAACCCACTTTAACATTGGAAGGTTTCGAAAAAAGGCCCAAAAATAATAATACCGCTCGACGGTCGTACTTTTACCGCATTTTTCTCAATACACAAGTTTTTAAACAGGCGGACATGATTTCGGTCGAACTACTCAACCGATTTGCTTAATTTTTTTTAAATGTTCACAAAACGCCTGGTTATCATCCCTTTATCTTTTATAATTTATTGACAATGTTATGACAAAATTCATGTAAAAAAACATGCGGAAAAATTACAAAAGAAATGTTAATTACTTTTTTATTTATCAACATTTTTTCATGATTCTAGTAGGGACGATAACCATTCGCGTACTTTTTAATAATACATTGGTTTTTTGTGTTTCAGATAATCCAAACATGAGAAATAGTGTCCGCCAGTGAAAAAAATCATCTCATTCACCCAGCTACTTCTCCGACAGATATCATAATGATATTTAAAAAAAGTTCTTTGTAGAATAGAAATTTCTATGAAAAAACAGTGTCAAAGAAATAGGCCAGATTACCGTACTCACCACTTAAGCAGCTGCTGTAAATAAACTGGTTGACAGGTCGCGCTCATATTTTGTATAGTCAACTTAGCAAAATACTTTTTTGTGAAATATCATTGACTCGCGGCACTTAATTACAATTTCCGGGTGCTTTTTTGTCCCAATATGAATAAAATTTTAAAGAATCAAGAATATATGCATGTTAATTTCGGCTGCACTGAAGCTATTGAACATTTTATGGCGGCATTAAGGATATTTCATAAAGAAATAAGTTTGGAGATTGTAGTGTTGTCTAGTTTACAGTAATTTTGTTGACTGTGATGTTAAATTCTGTTTCTTACTAATTTTAGGTTGCCAAAACCGAGAAGGATATTAAAAATGTTCTAACATATAGGATTTTATACCATATTACTGGAAGATTTCTTGTCAAATAAAAAGTTGTTCCTTACAAGGCCTGGATTTTGATTGATACATTGTTATTAAGAACATTCCGCTTTTAAATTGGTTATTTGAAAAATCCTCGTCCTTGTATTTAGATGGCGCTAATAGAATAAGGACGGGGTTCCAGACACTGCCCCATGAAAATCAGTCATCATGGATTGGTATGCTAAGTTTAGACGTGGAAGACGGCCAAAGAGGTTGTTAATGACGAAAACATCAAAAAAGTGCAAAAAATAATTTTGGATAACCGTAATGTGTAGTTAATCAATTTGAGCTCTGTGCGAAGTGGGTGCAGTGCGAGCTCACTTTTGATCAAGAACAACGACGAGTTGATGATTCGGGGCGGTGTTTGAAGAAGTTCAAACGTAATGAACCCGAGTTTTTACAATGATATGTGGCAATGAATGAAATATGACTCCATTATTTCTCTCCGAGGTCCAATCGATAGTAATCCGAGTAGACTACACACGATGAACCCGCTCGTAAGCGTGGTAAAACGCTTGAAACTTGGAAACTTGAAAAAGAAATTATCATCAGTAGGGTCTAATACGTAGCGTAATTGGACCATCAACTAAAATCCCAAAAAAATAAAAAAAATAAAAAAAATAAAAAAACTATAGAAACCAGGGACAAATATATTCAAGACTTACATCTTGAGTATGTGATATGGAATCACTCGTTAAGGTTAGAAACATATCCAAAGTGTGCAAATTAGAAGTTCGAATGTTCCATTTGGCAGTCCTGTTATATTTTCCACATACTATACTTCAGCAAATAAAAAAGTTTGTATGTACATAGATATGTATTGACAATTTAAATAAACATTAATCAAAATATAAAAATAAATTAAAAACTGATTTATACTGACAACAAAAATACTTCTCGACATTTTATTACACCATACAAACATACTATATATAGAAAGCAAGCGTCAGCATTAGATGAATTTCAGAAATATGCCACCAAACCAATTACCACTAATTTTGTATGCGTCACTATTATTGCTAATATTGATACTACTCAAATGTATGATCTCACTTGAGTCGCGGCCGATATCGCAAATCAGATTATCAACAAACTTGGGCGCCATGCACTTCATACACTCTAACTAAACAACTCAACTATGTCTTCACTTCGATGGTCAGTATCACGGTCACGTGCCACTACGTGCATACACTTGCGTGCGTTCATTTTGGTCTAACACAAGTGCTTCTATTTTTACACACGCTCGCTTTGAGTATATGGCCGCATGCAATGCTTACGTTCACTTACCTTTGAGCCATTGCTCGCTCAGCGTCACAGTACCAATGCCGCGCACACTGAAGGTGGTGGTGACTGAGAGACACCGTTGGAGTCTTATGATCTTCAGCATGTTCGGTTATTGGTATGATTTCAACTGTATGACTTTACTTTTCGACTCCGTACAATCGCCTTGTTGAGTTTTTGTTGAGTACCGTTATAGTGCGCGTTGCAACTGCTCACGTAGTGCTTGTCGAAAGTGTTCTGACAAGTTCGCATAAGGTTTGCAAATAAACAATGCGGTTGAGGGACAAATTGAAAACCAGTTACTTGGTATTACACACATGCATACACATATATGGTACATGTGTAGGTATGTACATATGTATTTTTGCGGTATATAAAGCAAATTTCGTATATCATTTAATCATAAGATAACACTCCTAAATCCTTAGGCCAAATAGATTGATCGATACTGCAAATTCATCCATCTGGATAGGCCTTCAAGTACCGAATAAAAAAAAAAAATTATTTAATTGAAACAAGAAAAAACGTTAACTTCGGCTGCACCGAAGCTAATATACCCTTAACAGGTGCATTTCTTTTAGTAACTATGTGTTCAGTTTGTATGGCAGCTGTATGCTATAGTTAACCGATCTGAACAATTTCTTCCGAGATTACATTGCTGCCTTA